AAAACATTGGGTATTAGAAGCATCACTTAGTTAATTGAGAAAACTAGAGCATTAGTCTGTAAACTTTAGCCGAGTTGGAATGTTGGCCATTGAACAAAAAATTCATGAGTATTAGTTCATGAACTTGTCACAATGTGGTGCAGTACTGATTTTTTTTGGATAACTCTGTTATAACTTTCATCCCTTATCTACTCTTTTAAACCTTTTATTTTGTATGAAAATTTAACGATGTTATCTAAAAGGATCGTTGCTCTACATAATAACAAGCTTAAGAACTAATACTCATAATTTTTTAATGAATTTTTAATTTAGAGGCTAACTCACCTATTGAACCAAAATACATAAACCAATACTCCGATTCTCCATAATTAATTAACTATCCTTTTGAGATGTGCATGCTAACCAAAGCCACACTTTAACGTATGAACAAACCAACTTATAATTAAATCCAAAACTTCATCATGCCTCATCGGATCATGTGCGTGTTGAATTAGGGTTTGTGTGTGCCATGCACCACCAACAGGATAATAATTGTGATGAAAGCAATGTTGCGGGGAAGCATGTGCTCTAATGGTCCTTTTGCAGAGGGAGGGATTGCAGTTTAGGGTTAAGAGAAGTGGAGGTCTTTCACTTATGAAAACGAAAGTAACTTAATTTGGTTTACTCTTTGTCCACTTTATGTCACATCCCAGCCTGGGTCCCCACCACATTCGGGCTCGACTCTACCGTAGCACGATATTGTCCGCTTTGGGTCTCCACCACGCTCTCACGGTTTTGTTTATGAGAACTCACACCAGAACTTCTCAGTGGGTCACCCATCATGGGATTGCTCTCGCACGAACTCACTTAACTTCGGAGTTCTGATGGAACTCGAAGCCAGTGACCTCCCAAAAAACCTTGTGCTAGGTAAAGATGAAAATATACATATAAGGCTTACAGGATCCATACCCCTGAACGATGTGGGATCTTACACTTTAGGTCATCTTTAATTCAACCACCACAATCGGATAACAGCAGAACCCAACAGCGACGCAAATATTCCCCTTTAAATGTATCAATTATATCTGGCAATAAAGACGTGGTTGTCTTCTTTATACTAGTATTAATCAATGTGTTCAACACATTTTTAAACTCAAATAGGAAAGTAAAATAAAAAAACACCACGTTTTTCATTGTCTGTGAAGTTTGACTCTCATTGTTCATCGGTTGTTTTAGTTAAGGCGGTTTTAGTTCTGTAATTGAAAGTGGTTTAAGTTCTCTAATTGAAACGTGCGGTCTTATGTCCATAATAATCATGCATAATATTATTTTTTTTCTTGACAAAAAACGATAAATTGATATTTCATTGATCATCAAAACAAATATAGAGGTGCTAGTTGCATACAATGCTCAAGTGACTAAGAAAATGTATAATTATGCACAATCTTAACATAAAACAATTGGTTTTGATACGGGGACTAGTTAAGTTCTTTTTTAGTTCTCTATTTGAAAAGTGCAGTCTAATGTTGGGGTGATCACAAAGCATGATATAATATGATTGGACAATAAGTTTATAATTTCGAGTATTACATTAATACACGAAACATGTATCAATGCATGTTTATCTCAAAATATTTCTCAATAAACTAACGCATAGGAAGTAGAAATATGATTAATAGAAGGATAATGCTTGCATTCCCTCTCTAGGGATGAGCTCATTCCTCCACTTGCAGCTAACGTATCTTCATCGTAGAAATCTCATAATCACAACCGTTGAACAGATAATGTTCTTGTGTCCCCCCATGCATGGGGAGACTTACTTGTCGCCTCACTTACGATTAACGAATTATTTACCGTCCGAACATCATGATTGAAACTGTTCATTCTCTTTATCATAATCTAAAGATTATGTATGCAAACAATCAGTCAATTTGGATATTGTTACCCATTTATATGCATAGAATAAATGGACGATTCACCATGAGGATGCTACTTGTTATCAAAATCGTTGATTGGTTTAACACGTATGGATGACTAAATGATTTCCAAATTGAATAATGTTTTGCAGATGTGCTCTTTAGATGATAACAAAAAGAATGAACCATTCTGATTATGATGTTCAGACAGTAAAGATTCATTAATTGTAATTCGGGGGACAAGTAAGTCCTCCATGGGGTACACAAGTATTATCCTCGTTGAATTCCTTAAGATTCATTTGAAGATCATTCCTATGCAAAATAGTTCGAATTGAAGTTCGTTTAGTCATCCAAGTTTATCAAATAAATCTAAGGTGTAGGTACTAAGTAACATATTCATGATGAATCGTCCATTTATTTGATGCATTTGGATGATTCGAATGATTTTTTGTATGAGTGATCTTCAAATAAAAATTAAGAAATTGAATAATTTTGATTATGAAATTTTTATAGTGAAGATACGTTATCTGCAATTGGGATAATGAGGTCATTTCGCCAAGGGAGAACACAACTTTTTAGATTATTCTGTATCCAATTAGATTTTGGATTTAATCATGATCACATGGAACACTGTATGTTTTCATAGGTTTTTTGAGTTTTATGTTTTTATTTTTATACAGGCCTAAACCGTTCATTTTTTTTTAACTTGGGAGGATGATTTTTTTAATGAAGATCTTAAAAACGATTTGGATTATGAAAAAAAATTATGGAGTAGACCCAAACGCATGGTTAACGACATATTAAGTTACTAACTAATTATCGTTTGAGCAATCTTATATACATTACACCAAAATAATGGGGGATATGAGCTATTCCGCACAATGGGTCAACATGACAATCTAGTGTTAAACTTATCATTCACAGGAGTTGAGTAACACTAAAGTGTAGTAGTAGTTTAAAAAGACAATTCAAACTCAGTCGCATCACCATATTATATGTATAATCTTTGAAAAGATTTCTCATCTCTCATCGATTCCAGAAAGTAATGTTTGACAATTTATCTTGTGTTCCTATCATATCTTGTGTTCCTATCGTTGTGTATGCTAAAATACGAGGGCCAAACCAGAAGAACACATATCTGATTGATCTAAATATTTCAGAGTGGGTTGTGTTGGGACCAGAGAACTGACTGAGCTGTGAACGAAACTAACTTAAGTAACAATGAAAGAGTATAACTCTGGTCTGCAGTAGAGCCCATACAACTCCAAGGTCCAAACTATGTTCCACTACCACCTAAGATGTGAAGAGATTACTCAAAGCATATTTGAAGTGCGTGTTAGCTTGAAGACAGTTGAGGTTCTATCATATGACTAATTCGCAAACGTGTGCGGGGCAGCCTAACTTAGCCTCACGAGAGAACAGACTCGAAGAGAGTAGAAATAAGGTAGCTGCACACCAGCTGATCATTTCTATGTTTGGGATTAGGCTTGGCAGGAGCATCATCATCATCAGCAGGAAGCTCAGCGTCAGGCGTAGAAGATGAGCCATCAACATGAGAGAAAAGATCATGACCAATCAAGAAGGGACTCATCTGACACGTCCAATTGAGAAAATTGGTCTCTGCAAGCTTGAAGAATTGAGCCACATTAGGTCCAGAAGGAAGAGATGGAGCGAAAGAGGAATAGGAGGCCGCTGCCGTGGGAGGAGACGGAAAAACAAGAATTTAGGAGGGTGGGCTATGCCACACTAGGGTTTGCAACCTTAACTCTCAGATACCATACATAAATTATAAACTTGACAATTATATTCATAGCACAAAAGCCCATATATACAATCATGTATACTTGACGGATAAGTAAGAATCTCTACAAATCAAAAATACAATCAGACTTAAATTACAATATTAATTCCTAAACCTTAAGGGAGACGGTTTCCTTGGACAAGACTCCTCTAACACATAGTTAAGGTTATATCATAAAACCTATTGGTAATATGGATAAGAACTCGGCTACTTATAGAAATTGGAGCACTGTTAACATGCCTTTTCTCAAGGGCAACCAGTTTCCAAGATGTCCTCAATATTCTCCGGAAACACTCTTTGGAAAGTACACTTTCTTGTCCTTTAAACCACGTCTTCTCTGTGTGGGCGTGTGAGAAGGGTGGGTTCAAACTTGGGTGCATGGGAACGGAAACTTGCCTTGATTAACCAACCTAGCCTACATATAAACTAATATACGGACTATTCACAAACAATCTAAAATTCATCCATAATTTCTTCAAATTCTTCCCTAACAATTCGTCAACCATCTAATTTTCGTCTTCCTGATTGATAGTTACATGTCAGGCATGGACGAAGCCAATGAATGCTCAGTGGGGGCAGATGCCCCCACTCAAGTAATTCGTTTGTTTAGTTGCAGACTACAATTATATAATATGTACGGATTATCTTTGAAGAAAATATATGTATCTAACATCCAACATACATTCATTCTACTTATACTCCATATCAAATATTATATGAGCAATAGTGCTCTTGTTCTGTCATTCAAACCGAAAAAACCCTCTCCCGCCTACCATGTATTTATATTTTTCTCATTAATTTGCCACTTTCCACTACTATATTGAAATTTTTGTAACATTGGAATTGGGATACATCATCATTTGAAACCATCCTTAATATCATATTACGTATAACCATATTATAATAAAAAAAATTTAGTTGATTTCGGTTGCCCCTACTGGAAGAAATTTCTGACTTCGTCCTCGGATTCAGGTACTGATCCATCTGAGATTGAAAAGCCTAAACAATAACAAGAGCCACAAGGAGGACAATGACATGCGCATAAAAGTTACAAGGTAAAATTGTGACGGATCAGCTATCAGCTTTTTTACGCTGAAAGTACGTTGTTGAACACAACGATTATGAATAGCATCATCACCATTAGTTAATAATGAGACGTTCGTTCCATAAACGAGCTATTGCTCGAGTAGTAAAATTGTAATGATAGTTTAGGTGGAGCTAAAGAGAGGAACCACATTGTAAGAGGAATGGGCAACGGATACCCACAGATACTCCACCACCGCGGTCACCACATTGTAACAAGGTAAAGAAATCGACTTTGAACTCAAAGACTTCATCGATAAAATGAAGACTGGATGTCATGTCGTTACAGACCAAAGGATCATAAACATTGTATCTACGAACTATACTATTACTTGTATACAATGAAAAACAGATGCCAAATATTGCATAACTCAAAACTAATTATAAATTTCAAGGGATAACTCAAATCCATCATAAAACAAACATAAAATTTTCGTTATATATCATCAAAAGGAACAACAATATGTTAGGTCATGAGCTTCGTCGTGATCACTTCTTCATCCCGACCGACCAACCAACCAAACCTGTACACCAAATCTGAGCTCAAACTGAAAAAGGCAGGGGGGAAATCAGATGGACCAATGTGAACGGTGGACCTCATGTTGCGGAAGAACACTTGCTAATAATAGAACCAGGAAACCAAATTATATATGTCCTTCCTACTTTGGGGCAGATCATAGCACTGGCTTTCTTTGTTAAAAAAGGAGAAATGATAACCACCAACCTTTTTCCTCGTCCTACACATGTTTAATCCTGTTTATTATTTGTGTTTGATTTATTTGATTCGATAGTCAAAAATAAAGAGCGGCGTGTAGGAGAATTAAAATAAAGTTGAAAGAAAGGGATATACTTTGGCTGGATGCTCTATTATTTGCATTTTACATGGACTATTTTGAGAGAGGTACCTGTGGAACGAGAATACGCTATATCTGCCTCTGATGGCACTTTAAAACTCTCCCTTAAGCTGCAGACTGGTTCTGCAAAGAAAAATTCGGATAAGCATGTGGTACAACTTCAGCCTTTTTGGCTACCCTAGAGGTCTCAAAACCGAATTAAAACAAATTTTGCTCAAATTTTGGTATTTGATAGTAAATTGTAAATAAAAGGATAATTTACCTTAGACTTTATAATAGTTTGGCTGTCCTTAAAGTACTGATTTGGATGGTTAATTCCAGCGTCGCATGATGAACCATGAATAGCTTCGAACGTCAAGGTGCATGCCAGCTGATGCATACGTAACGTGACCAAGTATTCCACATTAACATCGTGTTAGAACAAAAACAACTTGGAATAATTTTTATGCATCTAGTAACATTTTCACCTGATAATGTTTGTTTTTAACTTTGTCCATTACATCTCCAACTGCTCGGCCAGTAACTCCCATTTTACCAAGGGCTGCTCTCAAGTTCTCTTCACTGTCACAGAAATATTTTTTTTAAAAAGTTAGATTTGCCATGAGCAGGGCGACGAGATTCGACTAAGTATGACGAATAAAAGGATATGGTTGATCAGCCAATGTATGTATCACTACTTTAGCTGAAAGCCATTGAATTACTAGAATAAGGCACTGATATAGTTGGGTTTTTGCTGTGGCAGTTCTATCCCATATAATACAGCCAGTAATGTCGGAAAGGCCAAGTTAAATATCATCCAGATGAATAAGGAAAATTTTTATTATCAAAATTACCTGAAATATCGATATGGGCATCCATGATGATCTCCTACACCAGGAGTAGATGAGATGATTTTTTGACAGGAGTAAGGCGTGTAATCCTGCAATGTCAAAAATTGAACATATTTGATCATGATCAGAATGCACAGCATCATATATTTTGAGTATTTCTTCACGCGTTACTTCCAGTTTTCTAATGGTATTTTTAACCAAAAAGGCTGTACATCTAAGAACAAAATCCAACAGCAAAACGCTTCTGCAACAAGCAATAATTATGTAGTGGTTTCAATTTTTTTGAATATTTTTCATGAGTCCAGTTTTGATCATTGATCTGATTCTAGACATAACATCACTCAAAATTCTTGCTATTTGAGTAAAAGAATATAGCATCTTGAGACTCTTGAATCTTAAGTATGATGTCTTACCGTTCTTTTCCCCTCTCTTCCATAATTGTGGCGTATGCCATATGAATATTCTTTGTCAAACCTTTCAACACCAACCTATACAAAGATCAAGTACAAAGCATGGAATCAAATAGCAAGTGAGTCACAAGGAACAGGAAAACATCGACTTTGGAACTTTGAAATTTTGCAACTTATCCTTTCATCATACATGGATAATAACTATTGGAAAAAAATTCTGTGCCCCATGTGATGATTAAGAATGAGTAGATTAAATACTTCAGAAACAACACTCACTTTTTGTGAGAACTCAGCTTTCCAAAACGCAAGGGCATCATCCAGCTTCAACCCAACACCCTACAGAGGTTAATAACAAAATTTAGCCAATAGGGAAAGAAGATCCCAGAAAGACATATTCATGATTCTTTTGATAACTTTTACAGTTTGTCATAGCAAGGTTGTGAGTATAAACGTCAGCTGACAATTTTCATGCACCAAAATGCACCACAAAAACCTATAAACTACATAATATATATATATATATGTGTGTGTGTGTGTGTGTGTATGCCATTGTGCATTCTCCAAAATCATCATTCGCAATTCCGCAACCTTTTCACCACAACAAGGCTGTATGACTTCCAATAATTTTGAAAACTCTAGTCGCGAACTTGCATACAGACATATAAAAGCACCAACATATACCACCAACAAAACCCCATAAGTGGTATACGTTGGTGACTGGTATCTAACGTCTATGTAACCATGCATGACATGTACGAATGAAAATGAGAAACATAGGAACAGATATTTGTTAATGATGTGGCAAATTTAAATTGAAACAAACAGCACAAGTTGTCTTGATGCCCAACATACCAATTACACAATGAACAGCACGTATGATCATGGAATAACATGTTACCACAAAAAAGACAGGACAGAAACCAGAGAGTGATGCGGGTTGTAGGATACAACCTTGAGAAAGAGACCTAGTTGCATTCTCCCTCCATGCTTTAAATGATGATCCTCTCTCAACTGCAAGCAAGTAGCATGAGTAAAACAAGAGCAAAGGCGATTTAAAAATCTTCATAAGAAAAAAGAAGCTGAGAAGAAAAATTTAGCCAATAAAGTCTGACTAATCATTGCCCAATGTTTATACCTTTTCAAATAGGTGGCGCATGCACAGAGGAAATGAGCTCTTAGCTGCATCATCGATGTCTTTTAACGAAATCTGACCAAACTCTTTTGGCTACAGAGGCAGTCAACATAGAATAATTAACTACAAATTACATGATCGATACCTATGGGTAATAGATGAGCTAAAACATGTAAAGAACTACCTCAGAATAGTCGGGGCCCAGGTAACTTGAGGATAGGGCTTCAACAATCTAAACAGAAATGAAAGGAAAAGAAATGTCAAGAAGCTAACTTGGAAATAAATGCCTACTTCAAAATACAAGGGTCAGGATCCGATACTCACAGGAGTCAACCGATCCTTCTCTTGTTCTGCTATAGTTGTTGTCCATTTTCTGCATTCAGAAAGTGCAACTTCAGATATTTTAAAATCCAAAACCTCATGCATTAGATTGTCTTGACAGAAGATAAGAAATAGTAAGTAACATAAGATATAACCAATGAGCTTTGAATTACAAATAGCCAACAATAACCTGTTTGTCAAAATAAGTGCCTTTGATAGAAGACTGCGGAACTGTGTGGCAACAAGGGAAACCACCTATTGTTTGGAAGAGAGAGGAGCAAATAAACATAAATAAATCAATGATAATCGTCACTTTATAGGTATATCGTATATGCAAGAACTAATAGAAAGCATTAACTAAACCTGATTTCTAGCTATATATGCATGCCCCTTACTGATGAATACTCTACGACTGGCTACCAGTTCTGGGACTTCTTCAAACGGTACCTTAATGGAGGGGTAGGATAATAAGAAATTAAATAAAGAATAATAAATGATATAAAAATAACACATGACGTAAATTGTAGGATTAGTTCGAATTTTAAAATTCATTCAATAATTTATTTTTCTTAACAATTTACTTCACTAATGAAGCAACACATGCAATAAATCAAAACCAACTGAAAATGTATTTGTGGCCGAGGACAACATTGGACCCACAGGAACCTCATTCCCATACTCCAATAACGAAATAAACTATGATCAAATAATAAATTAAAGAATGTACAGTTGAAAAGGGAAGAATGAATCAAAGATAAACACACCTTGAAGAAGATATCACTAGCTGCAAAAATGCAAGTAGAGGAGAAAAATTAGAATATGGATAACAGCGAAGGAAAATGCAGATAACCAATTTTTTTAAACACGTTCTGAAGCAACAATGAACATGTCTTCTAAAAAGGTAAATGAACATGCCAAATGCAAGACCAAGACGTACCAACATGCCATAGACACTCCACTATTGCACACACCCAGATATTAGAACATTTAAACAGTGCACGTGAGTATAATTAGGAAAATTCACAGCTATAAAAGTAATGCACAACTTATTGACTCCAGCATTGCAAAGTGTTATAAAATATGCGCCCCTACCAGTTGGTTGAGATTGAGCACCGAGCGAACGCGAAACCTGGACCAATTTATCTAATACACTCTGCAAGGGAAGATAAACTTACATGATGATTGCAACATATACCAAGAATTTTAAAGGGTTTGCAAAGTATGAAACTGATAAATAAATGCTGAAATGGTCTTAGTTTCAAATGCACATTTTCTATATTGAGCACATCATATCGTAAAGGCTTTAGAAAGTATGAGGCACATAATTACCTCGAGTTCAGAACCACCAACTGCCTTGTATGGAAGATCAAATTCTTCCATGAGCGCCCTCTGAATACCAAAAGCAGAATATTGGTCAGAAACCGACTAACGGAATGTGCCAAGCTAAGTGTAGATTACCTGAGGTTCAGGTTGTTCGTTCATAAATCGGTAACGAAATAGGGCAGTCTCCATGGAAAGAAACCATTTTCTCAGGTCCTCCCTAAAATGCAGAATAAAAATTAACAACATAAAATAAGATATAATAAGGAAATCTTTTAAGAGAATAAAATGTTACAAGTTCTTACGTTCTGCAATAAACTAGCCGAAGAACAAAGTGCGATATTATGTCCTTGTTGACGACCTCAGATGCCTGAGGATGTCTCATATTTGTCTTCCATAGTTCTATTGCCTGTAAAATGCCAAAATGTTAATTTTCTAAAAGGGTGCAATAAGGGAAATGAAAAGAATTTCAACCTGGAACTACGGTTTTACCAATTTCTGCATTTCGTCATGTTTCTTTCCGCGTGATAATCCATCAGATATCCCTTTAAGCACTGCATACAGCAGTAATTTCCATCAACACAACTCTCGAGATATATGCTGGGCAAATGCTAAACCCATATTCCCTCCAAGATCTGAATCCTCTCCGGTAAAATGCATCAAGAATCAAATTTCATAGTTTTTGTTTGATTCCGAAATTCAGAAGAGAAAGGGAAACCAGGCCAACCGAAACTGAAATGTGGATCTATACTAAAATCAACTGCAAAAGCATTTCGATTTTCCCATCTCCCAAACAGTCACACTCCAGCATGAAAATAATCAATCTTTTCAGCATTTTTTACCTTAATAAGAAATTTACAAGCTAATCTGAAAAGTACAAGACCGTGTGCCAATCTCATTCAGCCCCATCCCGAATATGTGGTTCTTTAATTTCACGCCCTAAACGGTGAAAGGTGCAAACTTTTGGTGTAATCTATTAACTTAGCTCCAGAAATGTGTTTCGCTTTTGCAAAATTTTCTCAGGAACCATACAAAAACCAAAAATTAAAAGATATCCCCAAAGTTTTGAGACAAAAATTGAGCAGTGAAACGGAAATTACAAAGGTTCTCGATAGGAAAATTACCTCGGAGGCGATCGAGGGCGAAGAGCTCGAACTCTTCTAGACGAACTTCAAGGGCGGGAGCAGAGCGGTAGAGAGGGAGGGTCGGGACGACTTCCTTGACGAAGGATTTCCTCTGAGATCTAACGGCTTGCATTTTTGCTCCTCACTGTCTCTCTCTCTCTCTGTCTCCGGTGGAAGTGAGAAATTATCTCCAGTGGGCCACGGCTCCAGTGTGAGTTCTTTATCTTCTACTTGCGCGCCAAAGAAGCCGAGCAAAGAAAAATGGCGGGAAACAGTTACTTACATTGCGTTCCATGTGCCTTTTGGGCTTTCTCTTTAATAGTACAGACTCAAAAAGTCGGGCCGAAGCTGGATTGTTAGAGCCCGTTTAGTGTGCCGGTTGAGATAGGTTGTGACTAATTAAAATGAATTGAGGTCTTGTTAGGTCAAAATGTGAAATCGGCATAATAAGTCATGAAATTCCACAATGGGGTGGGTTATATAATATGTCCGTACATATGAGTTACAAGTCCAGCCTAACAAACCCCTACCAATCCAATTTTGTCCCTAAGACCCAATCTCACCCAGTCACTAAACAGAACCTTTGTTTCGTAGGACTCAACATGTTTTCTTGTTTGGAATGTATCAAAATGAGTATTTGAATGCATTTGATTTATTTTTTGTGTTAACTAAGACATACGAAACTAGAAACTAAAAATTATGTTGCTCACTTTACAATCCGTAATTTAATATAAAAAATCCCGGAATTAGAATAAATAATGAAACATTTGATTTATTGTACATTCCACTGAACTGCTCTCACAATTAAACGTCACATCGAAGTCGTGAATTTTATCAGATGCATACACGACAGCGATATCTAAGAGTTTCACCATTATTCCAAAACAATAAACTTTAAACCTAAAACCTCTTATGCGACAACGGCCATCTTTCGTATACACAAATACTAATGTCACCATAAGATTATCTTAAATAACCATATTACGACGTAACCGCGCTACAAAATTTCTCAGCACCCCATCCCGTCCCGTCCCGTCCTGCTCCGCTACAATGACTTTGATCGACTACAAGGCATCAGCTATACTTGAGGTTTTGGCTCTCAAAACTAAACAGTCTAAAAGCTCGAGACTTTCACCCGAGCTATGGTACAAATGATGATTTATTAGATAAATTTACTCTAATGACTTTACCGGGATCTATTCAAAGATCCTCATAATGGTTGACTGGTTGATCGTTTCTGTTGCACCATTCCAGTTGTAGCACTTCGCGTCCTCTGGAGCGCCGAACCATTGAAGGTTGGAAACCCGAACCCGAACCAACCAGAACTGGAAGCCGCTTTGTTTGTGCCTTCTTGGGCACGAATCCCATTGGAAGCCTCAGAACGATTTGAGGAGGACTCAACCACTTCCAAGAGTCCACTATTCTCCTGAAACGACTGGACATGGATAAGACTATGGATTCCTCAACCAAAAAGGAGGCAAAGTCAAGCGAGCAGACATTTGAATAATTGTAGAGTTGCTTAAGAATAGAGGCGTTAAAGCCCCCTACCAATTCAATATATTATCTTAATAAGATAGCATGTCAAACCGCTATACACTTTGAATATTAATCTTACCCTTGCGGGTGACGTTGGGGGTAGCTCAAGTGCTGGCCTCGGGGACTTCAGTGGTGTCACCAAAGACGAGGGGGAGTCTGGTGGTAGTTCAAGAACTGACCTGGAAAAGCTGGATGGTGATGCCTGAACATCGTGGAAATCAGAGTCAATAAAATGTCAAATGAATAAATATCAATTGAAGCTCATTCTGATAAAATAAAGTTACAAAACAGACATAAAATATCAATCTACCAGTACAATCAATCATTAGTCAAAGACAAGGTAACGTACTACAGAATCAGACATAAATATCAATCTACCGGTTATGCAGGAAAATAATCAGTACATGCCTGAATGCGTTCTGCGTTTCTGCCCTTTTCCAGGTTCAGGGCATAGTCGCACAACTTCCAGACTCCATCAGCAGTCTCACCCTAATAAGAAGTCAAAGGCCAGACCGTCAGAACAAAAGAGTATTCAAGGGGGGAGAATAACAACTCATAAATCAAAAGAGTTAAGTACTATATACCTGCTTCCCTTCGATTCTATTAATTTTTGTTTCCTGAGACCAAAGAAAAATAAGGGATATGATTTTCCAATCCATGAATGTACCTTGCGAGAGATGAAAGAAAATAAAATAACAATAAATCACCAGAGTCAGCACTGCATGATGAACTTTTTTAAAATCCCTGCTAATGGTGTCCGTCTTTCCTTGTAGTGTGATAACCTATAAATGGCTTCGAAGATTTCTTGTTAATGAACTAGAAACATAGAAATACATACTAACTAAACTACTCAATAATATCTAACATACCCACCTCCTGTTGCGTCCTAGCAGTATTTTCAATACTTTCATCCAAACTACATTCCACACGATCAAGTTGTGAAGATAATTTCCTCCGAGTGCTCTGAAAATCAGACAAAATATCTACAAAGTTAGAGATTTTTATTTTTCGTGTCTAATTAAAAGCATATAAAAGAAAAACCAATCCAAAAGCACGACAAACATAACAGGTTCATAAAATTTCCTTGCAAAATATGCATACTTTCACGAAACCATCTGAAATAAATGAGTTCATCTAATCACACAAGTTCATAAATCACAAAAGCTTAAACTACAACCAATGCCTTTTGGGAATAAATCAAGTACCTCATAACATGGATGGATATTGACTTAATAATTTGCTCACTAGACCCAACCAAATTTTGGTAACCTCTAAATTCCAACCTTGACCTTCAACAAAATTTATAAAATAATAAAAACTGAAAAACCCCAACAGCCACCCACCATGCCCAAACCCAATGAGAACATCGACTCTCTCAACTCCCACCATCATCAGCCCCTGCGACCTCGCAGATAGGAAAATGTTGCACATGATCAGCCATCACAGAGAGTTTACAGTTATGGAGGGGGCGGCTTTAAGGAATTGAAGAAACTTATGAAAGGACATAGATGGGTCTAGTGAGCAAATGGTTGGTTCCATATAAAATTTTACCAACAACATTTGGAAGAGAGAAAGAGAGAAAAAGTAATACTTGACTGTTGACTCACAACAGAACATTCATGGCTTTGTCATATAGTAAACTTAATTGAATGGCATCAGTGAAGACAGAAAAAGATAAGCTCCTCTCATTCTCGAGAGAGCACTTAACATACCATGAAACAACATAACAACCTACATATTACGTAGTACACCATCTATATTCCACCATAGGCACAAGGCACAAGATTTCACTTGGTAAGAAAAAAAGAAACATCAGAAATCAACAAATATCACCCCCAGAGAGAGAGAGAGAGAGAGACTTGCCGAAATTGATGTAAACAGACTCTCAAGCTGTTTAGCAACAGAATTGGAAGCATCAGATAAGCTACGTCTTGTTGCAAACATCATATCAGGAAGCTTCCACCCCTGAAAACATATACAAAATGCACACATATAATAAACAACTTTGACAAAAGAGAACAAACAGAACAGAAGAAAACAAGTTGAACCACTAGTTATTTTTTTTCAAAACATAATTTGTTTATCAAACCAAATGGGTTGAGATTTTGGGATGACACCTATCATAATTACAAACTTTCAAAAAAATTTACATGAACTTTAAGCAATAATCACCCTACAAACTCAGAGTCCTTGAAAGCATACTTAAAATTTAATTCTAAGTTGTTAAATGGTTCATATACTTTAGACTTTGCAGTTTGCACGCTATGACAAGAGCACTTGAAGTTTATCAAGTTTATATACAAATCAGCAAAAAAAAAGGGTAAGCTAAGTGTTTGTTTCAGTAACCATTTTAATTGATGCATGCTACTAGATGAAACAGAAGTATAGCATCCCAAATACGCATATTTGTATGGACCGCACCAATGCACATAAGGAAGTTAATAAGATGGTTATTCAACTACGGAATGCATGTAGTTGCATTCTTATTTACAGTAGATCATGTCAAAATGTCAAGGAGAAACATAAACAGTTGAATCGTGTCTTCACTGGTAGAACTTATTATTTAGCAATTGTAGAAGATACCAAAACTGAAAGGAACCAAAGTATCTAGTGGCAATTTAATGTCCTCGCTAATGTAAAAGAATTTAAATTCAATTACCAATATTACATTTCGAAGTACAAATTTTATCTCCTTATAACTTGTTCACCCACAGAAAAGTCAGATAAATAGTAATTTTGCATATCAAGAATGTTACAATGTGAGTATAGGTAGAATTTGGAACAAGAAGTTTGATCAGTTGGCCAAGGGGGAAGCTTTAACCTATTTATTTTCTCATGTAAAATAAAACCTCATACCTTCCACCACAAGTAGCCATATCCCGCCGCTACTGCAACAATAATTATACCATATTTGCTAGTACCTGAACAAAACCAGGTCACAGAATATCACAAATGGATAGTTATAGAGCTATATATACAACACATAACAACAAATTATGAAAACTACGAATTTAATCATAACATATATTCATGCTCATATGTATGTGTCATAAGATGTTTCTGAACTTGATGACAAAAATAAGATACAAAAACAGCTTAAGTTTGTTTATTAAGGTTTTGTTGGCCCGTACGCTACTAATCCAGACAATAAATAACCATGTTCAAAACTCCAGTGAAGGTAATCAGAACCTGTTCGACCCATAGTTATAATTGTAACTCGTTGCCGAGGACTTGATGATATCATCTCCAGCTCCTTCCGTAGGTTGTTCATCTGTAACATTTAATTATTTAATCACAGTATGCCATCTTCTAGAATATGAAGCTCCAATAATGAAGGCACACAGATGCTGACCAAGAAAAAAAAAAAAAAAAAAGAGTGATAATTGATTGAAGAGTGTGGTGAGGCAAAACTATTCTAATACCCAACTACTTTAAAAGCAATTATAAGTAATAAAAACTCTAGAAGAAAATATGAAACCTGAGCCATCAGATGGTCGTTGTGTGGTTTCTTAGCCGCCGGAGTACTATCACTTCGTATAATTTGTTTCCATGCAATCTGTGGTAAAAGACAATAATTAATAAAATCTTAAAGTCGCAATGATATACGGGAAAATTTATACAATTTAAACAAAACTGAAGAACATTAAACTGAAAATATTTTTTTCAAAATATTGTTTAAAGATTACAGCCATGCCCAACAAAATTTGCATATTGTATCCCGATCTTATAGTCGTAATGATACACAGATTTCCCTATTGCTCGAAAGCCCTCAAGAACATTGAACCTCTACCCTCCTTTCCTGATTGATATAAAT